CTTTTTTATTATGATAAACTCCCAGCAAATCCCAGAGGCAGCGGCGTATGCAGATGACCTCGCTATTCACCTGAGCTTCTCCAAAGACAACGCCAACACAAGCAGCTCAAGACTCCAGAGAATTATTGACACTATCAAACGAGGGTTCCTGTTGGAAGATAAAGATTTGCTGCCGAAAAAGGGTAGTTCTTCATCATATCAAACAGCAAGGACCGCATCAAAAGAAACAAGGTTCTCTTTACTTTCGACTTCAAATTGAACTTCGGCCAACACATCGGAAGCCTGGATCGCAAAGCAACACGGAAGCTGAACGCACTAAGAAGTAATCTCCATCTCCTATCTCCAGAAGGTGCTCTACGGCTCTACAAGTCGGAAGCACGTTCAGCGCTGGAATACCCCCCCCCACCCACCCCGCGTGGAACGGAGCAGCTCAAACGCATCTCAGTCTCCTGGACCAAATTCAAGACAGAGCAGTCACTATCATCGGTAGAATTTCTAATGAAGCTGACACAAATGTTGACGATCTTCAGCATCAGAACAGGACTTACTGTTCTGAACAAGGCCCGGCACTTCAACGTCCTTCATCTGGCGCCACTCGATCAGCAGCCACGACGAAGCAGCCGTCAACGCAGAAGAACCCAGCTGCCCTCAGCCCTCCCACGGCGAGCACGTCTCATTCCCAGAAACTTTTTTTGTAAATATGTGAGTTTGTGGAATCGGCAACAATGATATTCCATTTACATGCACCATTCAGACTTTCAAATTCATTATAAATAGAATTCTATCACAAAAGTTTACACGGAAATCCAGACAGGTTTTTTAAAATAGATGTTATAGCGACACTTCTTTCACCTGATAAATAAAGGGAATAATATATAAATTCCCTGAGAAAAAAAAAATAAAGAGAGAGAGAGAGAATCGGACAGACAGAGAAGAAGAGACAGAGGAGGAGAGAGAGAGAGAATCGGACAGACAGAGGAGAGAGAGAGAGAGAGAATCGGACAGACAGAGGAGGGAGAGAGAGAGAGAATCGGACAGACAGAGGAGGGAGAGAAAGAGAGACAGATACTCAGACAGACAGGAGAGAGAGAAAGTCAGACAGACAGACAGAGGAGAGAGCGAGAGAGAGAAAGAGAAGAGCCATGTTTTTACGCGAATCCAGGTCGATGGCGGGACCAGTCGAAGTGCTTCCTCGTTATCAGTGTCAGAGGCGTCAGACCCCGTGTTTGTTTGTTTGTCTGTTTGTGTGCTGGAGAAATAAAAGGCCTCGTTTAGGTGTTGCAGAAAAGGGGAGAAGGAGGGAGGAGGAGAAAAGGAGGGAGCACGGAGGGAGTAGGGGTGAGGGGAAAGAAGAGAGGAAGAGGAGAGAAGTGAAGGAGAAGGAAGAAGAGTGGAGAGGAGAGAAAGAGAGGGGAGAAAGGGAGGGATGGAGTTGAGGAAAGGAGAGTAGCAAAAAAAAGAGGGAATGGAAGAACGGAAAGAGAAGATAAGAAGGAAGAGAGAGAGAGAGAGCAATAAGCAGAAAATAAAATTAGAAAGAGAATAAGGAATAAATGAATACGAGAAATTGAAGAAGACGAGCAAGTAAAATGAGAACAAGCGCAGAGAATTAAGGGGAACGCGAGAAAGAATTAAATGAGGAAAATAAGGACGAGGAAATGGAAAGCGAGGGAAGAAAAGAGAATGTCAAAGGTCAAACATTTTCGGAATACTGAAGGTCAGGTCAGCGCCTTGTCTCCCCTTTCGAGCACGTGTGTGAGTGTGTGTGTGTGTGTGTGTGTGTGTGTGTGTGTGTGTGTGTGTGTGCGTGTATGTATCGCGTCCGTGTGTGTACGTTACGTGTATGTCCACGTATGCGATTTTATATCTCTACGCGCCCACACATTCTTTTTTTTTACGTGCATGTGTATGTCTGCGTGTTTTTGCATGCATCCTAAAGCCTCGCCTCATATAAACATGCAAAGCCCTTGCAAGCGACGCGCCCATATGCCTCTCACAAAAACATGTTTCACAAATAACTCGCAGATTATGTTGCAAAGCGTGACTGTTTATTCACCATGGACGCCGGCTGCACGGGGAGCGGGCGTAAACATACTTTACCTTCACTTATGCACACGCGAAAGGTAAATTGATAGAGGGAATTCAGTAAATAATTGGAATAACCAGTGAGATCTCAATGTAATAAATAGAAGTGGGAAACTGCTTAATTCTGAAATTTAGCAGTTTTTTAATAAATGTTACACAAAAATAAAGGAACACAATACACACACACACACACACACACACACACACACACAACATATATACACACACACACAACACATATATATATATATATATATATATATATATATATATATATATATATATATATATATATATATATATATATATATATATATATATATATATATAAAATATAATATAATATATATATATACCAGAGAGACGAGAGACAGTACTACTGATTCCGGATTTGAACTGCTCTATCAATACTATAAGTGCTCACTTAAGTATGTATAGTAGATAGGTAATGTCTA